GTATCTAAAAATTCGCAAGTTTCATGAGAACTCAATTTCATTAAGAGTTTGACAGTTTTATCTTTTTCGATAGTGTATTGACCATTTTTTTTAATGTTCTTTTAGCTACAAGTTCAGAAGGAGAATAATCTTTCAAAGGTATAACATCTTTTTCGACCATAGGTGAAAAGCCTCCTACTTTATCTTGATATTCGGGTTCCATTTTAATTTGATAATGAACTAAAGCACTTGTTGAAAAGCCGCCAGGATTGACACGATGACATTTTTCAATCACTTGTTCTAATGTTTGACATTCCAAATCAAAAGAATATTTCATTTGAAACGGCAACGGTTTAAGTTGTGCGCCTCCGTAATGTCCATTTTCGTCTAAAAAAACTAAACATCCTTTAATGTTACTTCTTAATCCAAGTTCTTCGATTTTACTTTCGAAATAATCCGTATCAATTGCATATCTTTGCGAACCGTTTGAAGACATGCCACCTCTAACACTTTTTTCAATCATACGTTCGTGTTCTTCAGAGGGCGGATATTGTATTTGAATTTGACTCATAGCTGAATTGAGTTTACTACAATAACTAAAAACACTCAAGTGAGGTAACATTCGAAAAGAGTAAATTGTAATGTTCTTTCATCAAAATCAATCATTACAGAACCCAAAACTACAGTATCTAAAACTGTATAAATGTGTAATAAAGATTTTAAATTTAAAAAATTCCATAGTTTGCTAACAGTATCATAAGAATCTTTAATTTTTTTAATTTAGTCGTCTATTGTTTTTGATTTCATTAAATCATTTTTAGCAAATATTTCAATAGAAGGTATTTTTATGTATTCAATGTTTAAAAGTTTGTCTGATATTTGTGAATAAGGAAACGAAGTTTTTTTAATAAAACAATTTTTAAATTCTTCGTTGTCTACCAGTTGGTTAATATGAGGATAAAAAGGTAGTAAATAGTGAAGCATGCTGTCAATAATTTGATTTTGCGCTTTTTTAGATAACATACTGCTCGCTTGATCCAAAGAACAATTTAAAATTTTTAACGTGTCTACAATTTTTATGTGTTTGCCAATGCAAATAATATTAAATTTGTTTACACCTTTAGAAATAACAAACAAATTTTCCATATTGCAACATTTTAAAAAAGCGTTAAAAGGTTTGTCTTCTGTATCTTCTCCGTAGCTATATAATGGAATGTCTAATATTTTTTTTAAACCTTCAACAATCATGATACGATTATCAAAAGAAGCATTGTGGGCAAAGATAGGACATGCCAATTTACTACTACAACGTGGCAAGTTTTTGTTGCAATAATCGTGAGCTAATCCGTAAACTGTACCTGAAAAGTGATCATGGTCGATGACCAAGTAATCTTCAAAACAGGACAACAAACTGTAACATTCTTTTAAGACGTTGTCTCTTTCTTTATCATCTTGAATTAGTTCTTTTAATTTACTTTTTTTTTCAAATTCTCTATTTAACGGTTCCAACATACAATGAAACCATAAATGAGCTGACGGATGATTTAAACGAGACATGAGATGCAAAAAAGTAATAGAATCTTTTGTTCCCACCCATGTTCGTATTTCCAATGCACGTTAACTTCGTTAATACATTTTTGAAAAATTCGTATTAAAAAATAAGAATCTTCCAACAATTCTATAGGATCGTTTTCAAACCATATGTTAATTTGTTGTTCGTTCATAATGAGTTGACTTAAACATTTTATATAATCAACAAGAACTAACGAGTTTATTCTTACATAATCACTTAAAAAACCGTTTGTTATGAGAGTATGGTCAAATCTTTCCCACCATCTGCAACAAATATAAAACAAACTAGATATTTGAAACAAATCATTTTTGATTTTTTCCACTTTGTTTGTTATTAAATAATCTTGCGTTGACGGTTTAAGCATAAACAATTCTAATTTGCTCACTCGTTTAAATATATGATTTATAACTTGAACACGTTTGTTGTTAAAAAATTTAATTTCGTTATGATTTAATAAATTTATTTCTGGATCTAACATTGTAGTTAACTTGTAACTGTATATATCAGATTTACGAATTTTGTCTGCAGGACATCTACATATTGAGCACAAAGGATTTTCTTCTTGCCATACTTCACATTTTTCGTGTTCAGAAAGATTTAAGTTTTGAAAACGAGGTACACCTTTTTCGTAAGTAAAACAAACTAAAGTGTCTGCTAAAATTATCAAATCATATACTCTCAATTCGCTTTTATATTTTTCAACATTTTTGTCATTTGCATCTAATTTTTGCCACAAGTTTTGACGATGTGTTTTGTGCAGTAAAAAAATATTTTCTTGAAAACAAATAGGTAGTAATGTTAAAGGGTTTGCTTGTAAACTTTCAATTGTGTTTTCATAATAAAATATCCATTGTGTTATAACTTTACCTCTTTCATCTAAACCAAAACATTCTCTAGCTAAATTTTCAGATAAACAATGAATAACAATACCATGACAATAGTATGAAAGATCTGACAAGGGTTTAACGTGTTCTGTTTCTTTTAAATTTGATTTTTGAATACTTGTTTCACAATCAAAAGTAATAAAAAAAGGAAAAACGTTTCAAGAAGTGTTTATAAAACTATTTTGAGGTTCATAAAAATGTCTAGTTTCTCCATAGACAAACTTGTCTGTTAAATAAAATCCTTAACATTCGTGTTTGTTAGTTAATCGAGTATATTTGAGTCCACACTCTGAACATTGATTGTTATACATAACAGTTGATTGTTATACATAACAGTAAAACGTTCGTTAAGCATGCTAACAGCGTGAAAAGATTGATTTTTTCGTACAAACACATTTTTATTGTATTTACTGTTTTTTTACGTTCGTTAGCTTGTTTTCTTTCATCTTCCTTTAAAATTTCTCTTTGAGGATTTTGATCTTCTTTAGTTAAGTTTGCACTCTCGTATACCACTTTTAATAGTTCAGTAAGTACACTTTTATATTGTGATTTCATTTTAGGGTGTAGTAAACGAACGTTTTTATTTTTTTTATTTAATGAAAAAATTATAATATTTGTTCGATCAAAAGTGTTTTCGTATACAAAAGAGTGACACAATTCAATAAGTTCAAAAAAAGATAAATTTTTACTTTTTTCTTTTAAGTGACTTAATAGGTGTATCCACGAATCGTTTTCATCTTCGATAAGAAATTGCTTTATATTTTCTTCAGAATAAAAATCTTGTCCGTTTTTTTCCAATACTATTGTATTTCATTCTTTAATTGAGTTTACGTTCCACTTTCTTATTAATAACGAAACAACAATTGCTGAATAAAAACACAGACCATTCTCAAACAAAGTACTATAATCTAAAAACATTTTTTTTTTGATCATATGACAATATTTTAAACGAACTACTTTTATGTTTGTTCCAAAGAGTTAAAGAATGAGGACGATACCATTCTCCGTACCATTCGTCATGATTTTCTTCTTTTATATATTCTCGTGCTCGTTTTTAAAAAATTTTGTTTTTATTTTTAGTATAATATTTTTTCTCTCGTTTACTTTCACATTTTCGTCTTTTCATTATTTCTTCTGGACTAAGCTCAGAAACTTTTTTCTTTTGTTTACGTTCATATTCTCTTTTTTTCATTGATTCTTCTGGACTAAGCTCAGAAACTTTTTTCTTTCGTTTACGTTCATATTTTCTTCTTTTCATTAATTCTTCTGGACTAAGCTCACAAACTCTTTTATAACCAGCAAGTTCATAATTTCTAAGTTTCATCATTGATTTTTCAGTTAAATTGCTTAATGTTTTTACTTTAAAACTAGATAAACGAATTAATCTCCATCCGCTATCATTTTCCAAAATGTTAAAAACTGAGCGAATGTTATTACTTTTAATATATTGTAAATTTATTGATCCTTCTAGTGGTTTTATATAATATACAGGTGAATTGTAACATCTTTTTATAACTTTACAATAACCGACTTCTGTAGATATAGCACAAAGTGTTACAATATTATAACCAATTAAAAAATTTTGAAATAAATCAGCAAATGTTGATAATTTTTTTGTTTCAATCAGAAAACTATCTTGTGTTTTTTGATTAATGTGATAAGTAATTTCTTAAGGTGTTTGAATTTGATCGTTTAATTCAATTTCTTCAATAAAATCTTTATCTTTATAGTTGTCATTTACAAAATATAATATTTCTCGATAATAACTTTCGTTATCTAATTTTTCTTCAATATTCTTAATTTTAAAATGCATTTTTTTTTTAAATAATCTAAAAAAAAAAAAAAAGAAAGTTTTATATATAATAAAAAATATATATTTTTAACATGTTACAAAATTTTTTTCACCTAAATTTTTATAAAAAAAATCAACGTCTTTATCACTAGTTATATTTTTTAATATTTTTTTCAATTCGTTTTTAATATTATGATTATCATATTATTATAAAATTCTTTAACACGTGATAACGCGACACAAGGTAACGATATAATAAATATTTTAATTTAAAATTCAAAACAGTTTTATTTAACGTGCAACCTTGCGCTTTATGAACAGTTAAAGAAAATGCTAATTGTAAAGGTAAACCGATTCTAGAATCAATAATAATATGAGTACAATCTAAAATGTCTTCTCTCACGTTTTCGATTTTAAAATCTCTACCTTTTACATTAACCCAAACGCCATCTGTTTCTATAAATGATACAACGCCAATTGTACCGTTACATAAACCTTCTTCAACGTTTATATTTTTAACTAACATGACTACAGCACCAATTTTAATATTTATACTAATAGGTGTTTGAAATAACGGATTTACTTTTGAACTTTTAATAACATCTTTAGAATGAAACCATCGCTCATCAGAAGGAATACTCATTAATTGACGCAAGTTATAAAAATCAACTTCCATATTTGTAAAAAACAATCGTATGAAATTTGAATTTATATTATGATCAACTTCATAATGTCTTGTCATTATTAAATCGACCGTTTTATCAGATACTTTTCAAAGTCGTATTTCGTTTAAAGCGTTAAAAAATTCAATATTTTCTTGTCTAAAAGATTCAGAAAGTTTGATAACATTAAACATGTATTTTTTCCATATTGCAGATTTAAAAACATAATCACCTTTTACAGGTGGCAGTTGACGGAAATCACCGCAAGTAATAACTTGTATCCCACCAAACAATTTGTCATTGCATTGATTTATTTTGCATGCTAAATTATGTAATAAATCAAAGGTTTCTGCGTTAAGCATTGAAATTTCATCAATAATCAAAACGTGTGTATTTCTCCATCTTTCTAAAACATCTACTTGCATGTGTTTGTAATAATAATCGACAGATTTTGTACCTATTTCAAAACCTGGAAAACTGTGCACAGTCATACCTTTAATTTGATGAGCCTCTTTTCCTGTACTAGCTGTTACTGCAATATTTTTAAATATTTGATCGCTAGAAGCAATAGCATTATGTATATAACTTTTACCACATCCAGCACTACCAGTAATAAAAAAATTTAATCCTTCATCAAACCATTGAAAAGCCAATTTTCGTTTAGCAGATAAAGTCATTTTTTTATTTTTCTGAAAAAAAAAATACAAAAAATTAAGAATACATATATAATATAACAAATTTATGAAACCATATCATGATTGATATCATTTCGTAATTTGTCAGTTCAAATATTATAATTTTTCGTTTTTTTTGTTGATTTTTTCTTTCGTTATGTAATTTTATTATAAAATCTATTTCTTTATTCATTTCACATAATGTAGACGATAATACATTTGTAACTTCTTCGCATTGTTTTTCAATTAATAATTTTTTTAATGATTTATGTTGTTGATATTTTCTTCGCATATCCATATTTTATATTTTTTATCTAAATTAATAATTATATTAATATATCAAAATCAATAAAAATCTTCTTCGTTCGAATCTTCTTTTAAATAATATCTAAAACTTATGCATAGATCAATATACATTTGCATTTCTTCAATCCATATTTTTTTTATTGATTCGCTCATTTTTTCATAAAATTGATAAAACATGTTAAAGTTTACATTTAAATAAACATGAAAATGTCGTCTTATATATTGTAAAATTATCAACACAACAACACGATGATTGTTAACAAAGCTATTTGTTTCTGCAAAAATATTTTCTATTTCAGATACGTTTCTTAAAGTACAATCTGCGTTATATGACATATATTTAAATTGTAATTCTGCCACTGTCCAATTTTCTTTTTCACAAATTTTTTTAAAAGAATCCATTACACAATTTAAAATTATTTCTGTAAATTCCATCTAAAAAAATAATCTTTTATTAATAATAAAAAAGTTTGTTTACATAATCATACACTTTTAAATTAACTTGATCAATAATTAAATTCTTATCACAATTTTCAAAAAACAAATAAAACGTATAAAAAACTTTGTCTTTATAGTATGGAAAATTTGTCAACAATACTTCTAACAAAAATAAAATTGCATAATTATGAGGAAATTGGTAATAAAAAAAATCTATCCAATCCGTTGGTACATTTAATTTAGAATCTTTTGAAATTGGAACATTAAGTTTTTCAAGTTGTTCATCATTTTTAATAATTTTACATTTTCCACAAATTTCTTTATATGCTAAAGCTTTATTGTACAAATCTGATAAAGTAAAATTCATCATAGCAACTGAATATGTATTACAAACTGAAGATTCAATCCAATTTTGTTCGCTAAAAGTTTTCATAACGTCATTGAGTTTTAATACAGTCAACTTTTGTTTATCATAATACCATTTTCTGCTATCTTCAATTTTTTCACTTAATTGCCAAATAAATTTTTCTTTGTCATGATAATTTTTAAAAAAATCATAAAATTCAAAAAAATCATCAGTTGGAATTTCACCTTTTTTAAATTTAGATAAAGCTAAAATTAATACAAAACTAGCTATTTCCATTGGTACTTGTTTTTTAATTGTTAATATCAATGATTGTATCAATTTTTGTGTAATTCGTTCAACATGTGTCCAATAGATACAAATTGCACACAATATGTATTACAAATAGAAATGGCATCCATTTCTAACAATTCCAAAATATTATTTAGTTTAGCTTCTGTTATCATCTAAAAAAAATTAACTTTATGTTATTTACAATACTGACATATTTTATTATATTCACAATAAGGACAACAAGTATACAAATTTAAACATTCTATCATATTAGTTTTTAATTCAATTTTAAATTTCAAAAATCTTTTATGACTCTCAGTACAATAATTATATTTTTTAATTATATCTTCTGATATTATTATTCCTTTATCACAAAGTTCAATCATAGTTTTTATCCAAATCAAATGAGTTTGTATTATTTTATTACGTTTCTCTCTAGATAAAGATTGAGCTGTCCAAAATACTTCCTTCAAACTAGTAACAAAATAATGAGCTATAGTTTGATATCGAAATTTTTCACGTGAATATTTTATTCACACATCTTCTAAAAGAATTTCTTTTAAACTTTTGTATGCTTTTTTATGTTCTAAATTTATTACTGATTCGTCAACATGCTCATCGGTTTGTATATCAGTATTTATTTGTATACATCTTCCAAATATTTGAAGATCTTCCTCATGTTTTTCTTTACTATTCATTATAACTGAAATAAAAATTACAAATTAATAAAGATTATTACAATAATAACATTTTCTTTTATCGTCATCTTTATTATTTTTATTTTCATTGTTCAAGTGGTTAACGTGTAAAACGAAAGCATCTACACATATATAATTTTTAAAAAAATGATAAAATATTTTAAAGTTTTGTGGTAAAAACCAATCTATTGTATGTAAAAAATGTTTTTTAAATCCTTGTGTCAACATAACAACAAACTGATCTTTTGATCTCTCAAAATCGTATCGAAAAAGCATACTCCACTCATCGTTATCAAAAATTTTTTTCTGACATCTCACATTCAATAATTGACATTCTTCACATACAAATGGTTGAAATTCTTTAGCTTGAATAATCAATTCTTCCAACTTAAACGGACAAATTTCATTGTGTGATAAAAATTTTTCCATTATTTCATTTACTATTTTTTCTGTTAATTCCATCTAAAAAAATATTTTTTTACATTTATATAATTATCAATACAATATAATAAAAATCATAGCATTATATTTTTGCTCAATAACGTCTCAAAAAATTCACCACTTCTCTAAAGATTTTAAATCACACCCAAAATATTGTATATCACTTATATAATCATCATTTAAATATCGAACTTGTTTATCAAATTTATTTAACATTTTATATAATTTACAAATTACAAGGTATCTATTATACGCTAAATTGTTTTTTAATTTTAATTTTTCTTCAACAGGCAAAACTTCTTTTTTCAGATAACATTTTTTATGTATAGAATAACAAATATCTTTTATTTCAGTATTTATTTCAGGATCCAATTTTACAGTAGAAATATCTTGTAACTCTTTTATTTCAAGATGCAAACTTGCAGTAGAAAAACTAAATTTTTTAGAATAACAAAGATCTCGTAAATCTTTCATTTCAAGATACAATCTTGCAGTAGAAAAACTAAATTTTTGATATATCTCAAATAAACATTTATGATACAAATCGTAAATACGTTTTTGGTTTAACGTGCTAACATAATAACATTTGCCCAGTAATAATTTATTATACTTTGTTTTAATACTTTTCATTAACCCATTATAATCTATCGATGATTTCATCAACATCATTGCTTCAACATCATCTATATCAGCCAATTGCTGTAAAGTTTGAATTTCTTCGAGTCATTTTGGCTCTATTTGAACTTTATCTTCTTCTTCTAACTTTTGTTTTTTTTGATCTGATGGTTCACAAATAGGATCTGACATTATTAGTTATCTAAAAAAATTATTTTCAAATATAATATTGATAAGATTATTAATTATAATATTGATAAGATTATTTACGACATTTTTCATAATCATAATGTAACAACTTCCTTAATAATTTTCCTATTCTATTCATTACATTTATCTTTTTTTCAACTAATTCTTTACATCTTGTTAATTGTATACAAATTGTATACTGATGATACAAATCTAATACAATATTGCTATATAAATGTAAAAATTCAAGTCCTTCAACAAATACATTATGTTTACACTTGATCATATCGACATCTTTAAGTTTTTCAAATTTCTTCAAAAATTCTTTATCACATTTGTATTGATGTTCACACTTGATCATATTTACATCTTTTTCAAATTTTTCAAAACTATCTTTAACACATTTGTATTGATCACAATCAAAACTTTCACTAATCGCAAATAGTTGTAACTATTGCAAATCTTCAATATGTTCATCTTTTAATTTTAACATTTTTTTAATTATCTTTATCATCTAAAAAATTATTATAATAAAAACATATTACAAAATAAATAAGAATCAGCAATTAATATCAACTCCATTTTATTAAATAAACAAAATAATTCGCGACGTATTTTTCTTTTTAATTTTTCAACTAGTTCTGTTTTTGTCGGATACCGAAATTCGTATACATAATTTTCTAATTTTTGTTTTTTAGCACAACACGGCCAATCGTCTGCATCTTTTATAAATTCAATAAACGAATCATTTCTTTTCTCTTGATACTCTTTTTCTTTTTTTATTTTATTTTGTAAACGATCAATCGATTTATTACATTTGTTAATCAACTTTGTACATACTTTGAAATATAGATTAAGAGTACTTTTATCGTATATATATTTATGTTTATCGCTATTCAAATTATCACTAATAGAAGAATTGAATTTTTTTATATCTTCAATAGAATATTCATTATGCATTCCTTTTAAAAATTCGACCAACTTGTCACACTGATCAGCAAATCTTCATCTTTTTCTTTTAATATTGCTATCATGTTAAACAACATTTTTTATTAGTTATATAGTTTTTTATTAGCTTGTCCACTGAATCCATGCCACCTCTTATTCTTCTAAAAACGTTTCCACCACGATATTTTTTACCTTAAAAAAATTTCTAAAGTTTAAATAACTAACAAATACCTACATTACCTTTACCCATCATGTTACTTAAACGTGTATGCGGTTTCTCTTTTTTTTTTGACTTGTAAAAAAAAAAACTTAGAAATAAAACTTTGAAAAAAAACTTATATATTTTTAAAAAAAATATTTTGTGTCACCCGACACTGTCCTTACTTAACCTGCCTTACCTAACTTATTTTGTTTTTCTTAGTAGGCCTACTTATTATTTTTACTCTGTTGTTTTTTACAACCGGTTGTTTGTATCTTACTTACTTACTTACTTAACCTTACTTACTTAGTCTATTATTATTGCCTTACTTATGCCTGCTCACCCATTCGTATATACACGCTCGTTCATACACGCTCAGGACTCACCGAGAGTATGAGCACTCAGTGGGGACAGTCATCAAGTAACAGTAGTAACACCGTAACTCAATGTGGTTAACATATAACTAACTAAACTAACTAGACATATGTCATCAAGCGTTCGCTCAATGTGTTTATACATATAATGTTAAAAC